CAAAGGATATTTAAATATAAATTAATAAAAATAGTTAAACTTTGCAACATTTATATAAGAATGATCTCTTAAGATCACGAACGTACAATTCTATTCTTATTCCTGATTATACATTAAATTCCTTCTGAGTTTTAGTATTCCTAGAGATTACCCAATTTCCAACATTCGTACATTCGTTACTAGCAAATTGACAACTTTAGAAAGCCTTGCCCGTTAGGCCCCTTCATGTTGCTCGCAGCCTTGACTCGTAAGAAATATAAAAACGGTCACCTAGTATAAAGTTTCGAAACGCTTAAAGGCATTCTCATTGTCATTAGATTTACATATAATCGGATCATTTCGAAACGAAAGCTTCGATTTTACTAGATTTTACAAGAAATGACATATTTTCGAAAAAGTAGAGTAGAATTTTAAATATTTTTTTAAAAATAAATAAATTTTATACTTAATATAAATTTAAAAATAAATAAATCTTTTAAATAAATATTTCAACACTAAACCTATTACGACTTAAATGACTATTTTTAAACTTTTGATTTAAAATTCCCCATGCAATAGCGTTGGTCACGTGATACAAATACGTGATTTGTTTTTTAATATACGTATAATCAATTTTTTAATATTTCCTCATATTCCATTTTTTCAAAATTATTTTTCTTTCCTTTTTTCATCCGTCGGTTTATTTAGCCGTGGTAGTAGTATGGTAGGTTTAGTGTTAAATGCATATTTTAAATAAAATATTTCGAAAATATATTAAAATAGTTAAATATTAAATAGTTAAATAATAAATAATTTATTTTATCTTGAACTTTCACCTTGTTTGTTTCATTTTATTCAGCAACAACAACAAAATAATTATTAATCTACAACCTTCATACTGGGACTGTATCAACCAGATAGCTACTATATGAATGCAGAAAATATCAAATCTAAAAACAAACACCACATCACAGAACTGCAATAAAGACTTTCTGAATTATTTAAAAAATCCCAAATCTAACTGAAATATAACTAAAAAAAAAAAAGATTAAATTTGTTGTCAATGATTTTTGTATAAATGAAATATAAAAATCAATTGATTTCTAGAATACATATTATATAAGTAAATCTAATTTTTTCGAAAATAACTTTAAATATATTTATTTTTCAAATTATAATGGTCATTTAAAGTTTTGGTAAGTAACTTATGACAAGAAATATGTTCTTTTTATAATATGAGAAAAAGATTCAGACAAATATCATGAAAATTTTGTGACAAAACGTAGACGATTACATACAAGCAGACTACATAAAATTTGATATCATGGTCTTTCAAAAATTAAAACCTATGTAAATCCAAAAAAATAGAGAGCAATATTTATTTTGAATCATGCTCGAAAAATGTGTTCGATTCTAGTAAAGTAACTTTTGTTTTTATGCACGCAAGAATTTAACAGCTTATTACATTTATCTTTGAATCGTAATTGTAAACCATAAGCGAGATAATTATTACGTTGCAAATGCGGTAATGCCCGCTTAACTGTCTCGAAGTTATCCGTACCAATTCTTGAAACTGGTTCGACAAACCGGGTGATGCTATCTGTAACGCGGATCAACAATGACTCAACTACTACTAAATCACCAGAATAATAATAATGACAACGTTTTCCTATCTTTATTTCGCAGTGATATCATTTTGGTTCATTTTTGTAAATTTTTTCAATAAAAATAATACGAAACCCGATCGTATGCGAATGATTCCGGATTCCGCAAATAACATGCAATTAAAAACACTTTAACGCTGACGTATTACGTCTCTTTATGACTAAACAAGGCCAAAGAGATCAATTATCAGTAATTCTAAGAAACGGGATATTTCTTAAATGCATTTTGATTAACACTAATGAGTGATATAAAGCATAACATTTGTAAATATACTGTATATAAAAATAAAAATATACAAAAATATAATAAACATAAAAATATAATTAATCGAATTATTATTAACGTTAATCAATATAGCAGTAATTTGATCATTTTTGCCTCTATCTGTACCTTTCAGCATGATCTTTATTGCACCTTTAGACTCTGTCGTTTAGTTAATTATCTTATCACAATATTTCCGATATACATTGCTCGTAAATTATTACCAATCATCGTTACACGTGTAATTAAATATTTTTACTAATCTGGAAGATGTTGTAAACATAATTGATACGTAATTTATAAAATTTATGCTACCTGTATGTATATAACTACGTTGATCCGTGCTACGAAACGCAAGACATTTATTCAAACTTTCCTCTCTATTTCACTTACATTCCATGTTTCTCATGCCCGTCTCTAGCATACTCAAGAAGCCAGCGAAGCTGAGAGCGATAAGAGCTCGCGCTTCCCAGAACACCTACATTCTCAGATAACTGTCATGACGCCGATCAAGCGTGTGACATTTAAACGGGCACCGCTGTATTTAATTAAAATGATCAAATGGATAGAGATTTTTATTTTAAAGAAGCGTCGAATCATTTTCAAAATCAAGTATAGTAGCTTATTATGTTATTTATACGATTTCAACATCTGACTTATAAGTTTCTTTAGGCTCAAGTAATTTTGGTCTTCCTCGAATAGGGGTAGAAGAGAGTTCTGAAATTACGATTTTTGTATTTAATATGCTAATTCTACAAAGACTTCGCTTCGATTTTAAAATTTGCTATAAATCTAAAGTTAATAAAAAAATAATAAATTTGAAGAATCGTTATTTAGTTTACTAAATTACTAAAATTCCTTAGGACGAGTTTTCCTAATTTTTCAACTTTGTAATTTTACTCCAGAGCCATTGAAATTCGTTGTTAATTTTTTACCTAAATTTAAGACTATGAAAAAAAAAAAAAGGATAAAATACCCGTTTTTTAAATAAAAACAAGATTATAACTTCCAAATAGGGAAACCTAACAAAATAATTATTCTGTTAGATGACTAACATATACGTATATTTTTTAAGAATACATAAATTATTTACGTTATGCTTATTATTTATTAAATATATTAATTTTTTATTAATTTTCAGTCTGAAAAGATCCAAATAATCATTATATCACAAAAATGTATAATCGTGTATAACTCCCCTTGTCTCGTTTAAAATTTTAATCGAAAATTAATGACACTTCGATACAACTACAAGCTAATGAAAATAGTACAAACTTGATCATGAGTAATTTATATGCAAATTGAATACCACCCGTTATAATCATAAGTAACATAATTTACACGTAAACATGAATTTAGTAAAATTACTTTAATAAAATAAAATGTTTCGCAAAAAATAAATTAAAGGTACGCAATGAAGATTTTTCAAAATCGAGTGCTCTGCAATTCCATGCACAATTCTGTGAAAGGAAAGTTAATCTGCCGTGGAACCGATGTAACATTGATGATGACTTGTATATTGATGCAATACTATGACAAAGGTATAACGAGAATTTCCCAACAAGTTACTACAATACACATCGTGTAAATCCGAGCCCATTGTGAATATGACTTGTACGAACCATTTCAGGTAACACATTTTCACAGTGCAAAGTAATATAAACGCTAATTACGTGCCATTACTGTTAGAATATGTAGTAACAGGTAGTAAGATGTTAAAACGAAAAGAATGGCTTCACAATAAAAAAAAATTTGAATTTATAATTACACGAGTCAAAAACATCGCATTAATTTCTTTCATCGAATAAGATAATTATCCAAAACAATATATTCCAATTACTTAATGCATTATTTAATAATACTTGCAATAGATTAAGTAAATAATATCGTAATCATTTTTTATAATAAAATTTATTTTTTATATAATATTAAAAATTGTATAATAAAATACTGCAAATTTTATTATAATATTTATATAAAAATGTCTTTTTTTAATTTTTTGGAATCGAATTTTTAAATAAAAATTTAATTAACTTATATACACAATAAATCTACTAAATTAATTTAATAATAATTGTGGAGAAAGAAATATTGTATAATATATATATTCCTATGATTGAATCTTTATTTCTATAAGTATCTATGAAATCAGCTATATTTCTTTATTTAAAGAGGAATTCCACGAAGACCAGGAAAGTAATATTTCTAAATAAAATAGCAGCGCGACACTAGGAGACTTACACCTCTAATGCAATCATACTTTCTATCGTATAAGCCAAACAATCACACCATAGTAAAGTGGGTCAACAGACTTGCCACATTTACCGTAAGTTAGCAAATTTTCACGAAGTTTCGAACATTTTAACAAAATTATAAACATTTTAATTAAATTTTCTATAAATATATACTTCATAATTAATTTTCTGCTAAATGCCAAAATTTAATTTAAATGGCTAACCATAATTCTTAATAATCAATGAAAAGTATAAAAATTCAATAGAAAAATTAAAATTTGATCAAAGGAAAGAAAAAATAGGGATTACATTTTGAAAATATTAATTTTTGTTATTACAATTAATATATGGAATTAAGTAACACACGAATCTAGTCTTCAAACAGCTTTCAACCATTTTTTGAATATCGGATCAAAATTTTGCCAGTTTATAAACAATTTTGGGGAATAGTGACAAAATAACTAAAAATTATCAAGATTAGAATCTATTCAAAAAATTTTAATTTGAAATTATCAAAATTTAATTTCCTCGATCTATTTGACAATGTTATTATTTCAACTTATATAATCGGTAACATTTTTCAAACTCCTCAATTCGTTACTCAGAATTATAATTTTAACATTCTTATTAGTTCCTAATATTACAGTTGAACAACATTACACGCATAACTTGTGACCATTTAATTCCCAATATTGTAAAAAAAATAAAAAAGAAAGGTTGTCAAACGGGATTAGTTTCTAATTTGTATATGTCCAATTAACTGATTACATTCGTAAAATATACCATGCAAATAATTAGGACGAAAATTTGAACAGGCGTTAAAATAAAGCAAAGTATCCAAATTGTGAATTAGTTGCTTACGCAAGTTGCGAAGAATTGAGCGTCGAAACGTTTCTTCGAACGTATTTTACCCGGATCTATAATAGGCACGTCAATTTGTTTCGCATGAACAACGATAAATGGTCTTTTACTCGACACTGTTGTCCCCTGGATGCACACTTGAGTCGTTCACTCGATTCATCTATTTACCGTTTTCCTACCGTTCCGACCGAGCCGGGTCGCGAGAGATCGAAACGTGCCAAGTACTATCGCGACGAGAACACGCGACAAACTGAGAATTCGTCCGGGAAACGCAAGACGTTCTCCCGTAGTACCGTTTGGATACCGTTCAAGACTTCGCGGGTACTGATCCGCTCAACAAACTTGTTAAAACACCGCGATTCATCGCTCTCCGCTAATCCGTGACGTCGTTACGTAGTGGAAAGCAACGACGAAGGAACTATAGCAAAATGGCTACTGGTCGTTAATTTATTTCGCGGCGGTAATAACAGCGCGAGTTTACAAATCGAAACGCGCGTATACGCACGCGTGGAGAACATAACCTCGTGAAAGTGTGTTCCGACGCCGGGCAGGATTTGCAGAAATAAAGGAAAACCGAGATTAGAATGCACCTATCGTGTCTTTTACGATAACTCGTTACAGTTATAACGTTATACATCCTTTGTTTCCTGTGCAGTTTTAACCGTTAAATTTCCTCGCATAGATCGTAAACTTCTTTTAGAACGTAGATATTACAAATGATTCGCGAAATGGTAAATAATCCATGCATCATCGCGGAGATAATTCTTGGCTAACCTCGGAAGCCACAAAACTGGAAAGTTCATCGACCAGCGATGTAATCTTATATCCTACTTGTATAATGAAAACGAGTTTTGCAAGATTAAGCATCTTTTAATTCGATCTATGAACGAGACGCGTTGTAATCCGAGCTGACATAACCTTATTCGTACATTAGAAAAATTATTACTTTCTCTTTCGCGAATTCAAAACGATTTTTCTATGCGGCATTCGAACTTCAATGATATTTATTCCCTTCGTTCCGTAGTAAAATGAGAAAGAGGCTGTCCTATTTGATTCGTTACTATCTATGTTTAGAAAGTTGTTTGGTTACTTAATGTTTATAATCTCCTTTAAGTAGATAAAATGTAATCAATTGCGTCTATGGTTATTTTTAGTTATGTCATGCGTAATACTAATTTTACGACTGTTATTTTTAGTTATATGTAACTATAACGATATTTTTCTAAATATATCGTACGTAACTAGAATTATTGTTAATACGTTCAGCTGCCATTGGCGTAAAATCGCGTTATTTGTGATCGCTTTTCCGATTACGCCGCTGACGTAAATTCACGTCGATTATATTTCTCTCTAATTGTCATAAATTCGCATAAGTTATGATTTGAATTATAATTTCCATTTCAAATATTTGAAACAAATTTTGATAACACAAGAAAAAAAATTTTCCAATTTCTTTACTTCCATCGATTTTAAATGTTAGAAAAATAAAAAAATCACTGTCTAGTAATATTATCTCGAAATATCAATATGTTAATGTTGAGATTGACATTATCGCGATAATAATTGCGTGTGTTTATTTTAAACGCTCCAACTCGAGATATAACTTAGAATATTCCTGAGGCTCAGAAAACTATCTAAGAAGGTTATAGACTCTAAATATTAGTTCGATTAGAAAGCAGTGGAAAAGCATATTTCTTACCTTCACAAAACAACCAAGTGCAATACATCAGGTACAGAGTTCTAACTTGAAACAGATTATTTGCATTATATACATATATAATGTTTCAATTGCAAGAATGTAAAGTAATATTAATGTTATTGTTAAACAAAATATGCATATACAAAAAATAAATATTCTTATATAAAAGATATGATTTCAAAAAAGTATTTCCTTTTCAACGTATTTATTGCCTGGACTCAGTTCATTTGTACGTGAAATATTTTTCATATCATTACAGTAGAAGGAAATATTAAAGTGCACCATATCGCATAAATTTAAATACATTCTAAATTTGAAATATCGAGGAAAATTTTTATAATTTTTAAAATAATTAGATTATTTATTTAATTACTTAATTACTTTATTCGTAAATATTTAAAAAAATAATTAAGTAAATAATTTACCAAATAATTCGCTTCTAATTAACTACATCATTGTTAATTTAGACTCATTCTAAATTTAAAATATCAGGAAAACTTTTTATAATTTTTAAAATAATTAGATTATTTATTTAATTATTTAATTACTTTATTCGTAAATATTTCGAAAAATAATTTAATAAATAGTTTACCAAATAATTCGCTACTATTTAACTACTTCGAAAGAACAATTCATGATACATTATACAACTTACCCTTTACCTGTTTCTAACATTTCCTCCTTTCAAATTTTTTAGAGAGAAATTAGAAAGAATTTATTTTAGCACAGTGTATCATTTCGAATACATTAACACGTAATCGATGAACGAATAATTAAAAAAGCTTTGTTAAATTGTCTTAGAAGTTACCACAGTTAAAAATGCAATTTTTTAAATTTAAATGGCTTGCTCTTTAAGTATATCGACTAATTAAAAGGAATTATGTAAGTGCTTACAGAGATATCTTAAGTAAGGGAAATTGATATACCTAGAAAAAACAGTGGCGCATCTGCCAACAATAATAAGAAAATATTACGAAAGGCAGTAGAAAATGCAACACGGCAGATTTCCCACAAGTAACAAAGGGAGAAAAAAGGTAATATAAAATGAAACACGAAGTGTGAAAGAAAACTTAATTGTAAACTGATTTATCGCTAAGTTAGTTCACTTCCCTTTGACGTAAATTTCAAGTGAAAGTTCTTAGAATGGCTGAACCCAAGATTGTATGCAAAGCATCTTCGTAGACAATTGCTCTTCTCCGTGAGACTCTTCTGTTATTTGTGTTTTGATCAGACATCGATTAATGTACCCACGCTATGCGTTTTACCAAAGAGTAATCGTGTTCCTCAATTACGCAGGGCAAATTCTGTAGAACAGGATAATTTTCTTTAATCAAAAATAATTATGATAATGGCATCAATTATATATTTACATATAACTATAAATAAATAAAGGAACGAAGAAATAAAATATAAATAAAACTATACTAAAAAAATTACGTTAATTTATATTATACTTAGTTTTATCATGCTGAAATAACTTTTCCTAAAGATCAAAATTTTATCAAAACAGTCATTACTTTATTAAAGTATTCGTTTGAAGTAATTGTCACTTATTTGAAAATCCAATATAAACTTTGAGATTATATTCATTTACTAGAAATACCAATCTTTAACAAAATATAATTTTATCTAATATTATCTATATTACATAATATGTGGACTATATAAGTGTATATAGCTAAATATGATAAACATAGACAATAATAATTAAGTTAGTATATTTTTTGATATCGATATCCATTAATAATAATTATATATTTATATAATAATTATTATTATATTATATATATGCAATTATTAGTAATGGATATCAATATTAATTATTATTAGTATATAATGAATATTAATTTTAATAATATAAATTTTGCCAAAAGCAGTTATATACTTTCAATAATTATAAAGATGAAAGTTAGGTAGTTTTAATTTAGTAGCTCTTAATAGCAATAAAAATATATCGTCTAAATGTACTATATGAAGAAGTTTATTTAGCATAAAAGAAATTTGGATTTTTCAAAAACAAATTTTTAAATTACAAATTGAAAATAATTCTTTAAAAAATTTGATGAAATATTATTAATATATTATTGAAATATCGTATAACCAAATATATCATTACCTAAAATTAAATGTATTAAATTTTAGTATCTGATCTTCACTGGTCAGAAAATGTCTACGTAAAACGAAACTTATTGTAAAGTCATTTTTCTTTTAGAAAATTTCTGTCATACAATGGTAGAAAAAATTCCACCCGTGAAAAAATTTATTACATGATTATAGGTGCGACGGTGGCTCCTGCAACATGCATTTTTATAGCCTTTTAAATAATGCAGTCCCTCTCTAGCCACTACTCGATCCCTCTTAACAGGTTTGACTAGGCATCGTATAGAGCGAGCTGTTGCGCGATTTCGAGGTCGATTGGATACCCCGTATTATGCAGCTTGCTTTCACTTTCGCGATCGCTTATATCGCAGATGGTTTTACATGACAACACGAAATACGCAACCACATTACGCTCTTCTAACTCCAAGAATGAAAATAATTTTTTCATGCTACTTTTATGGTTCCGGTTAACGTTATAGTACATTCCATACAGTAATTTTTCTTTTTTCCTACATCTACAACTTAATAAACTTATTTACAACAGTTTAAATTTATATTTTAATGTATTTGGTATGTTATATTTTTTAATATTGAAACTAATAATCTGTAATGTGTATAAATACAGTACAAACATGTGTACGATGTAAATATCAGGTAACTAAATAAATAATATCATTTTCATATTTTTATTCGCATTTCAAAAAGCGATATTATTTATTTGGTTACCTAATATGTAATAAAATATACTATATATGTATATAAAACATGCATGGATAATAATTAAATAATATAATGAAAATAAATAAATATATAAAATTATGTTTCTATCTCATTAAAAATCAATACTAATTTTACCAGAAACAAGTTTTCGTTAATGCAATAACGAGAAAAACAGAATTTGATAAGTCCATTATTAAATATGAAATATTTACTACATATTTTATTTTTATTACGGAGATTTAATATTTTTGGGTATATTTAAAATACTAAATACGGATATTTAAAATTTTAAGTTTTTATAAATATATTATAAAATTAATAATATATAAGTAGTATTATTTCGCAATTTAATCATATCTTTTATTATTATTAATGTTAGAACTACCGATATATGAGCCGTTCACTGCGCAAATCGATTAACTCCACTTTTTGAAAAATCTTAAATTTAAGTATTAAAGCACTTGGTATAGTCATAACTTTTTATATTTATAATAACTTTCCCTGATAATTATGATTAACAACATCAAACGACAAAAATTTTTTGGCTACTGAATAATAAATAATTTATTTCCGAGGTCACTTTGATTAACTCCGCACTCTAATGTAAATCGTTGCAATAATGCAACTCAAATGCACTAGCAAACCACGAATGATAACGGTGAATTTTTTAGTGTCGTCTTATCAGAATTTACGTAAAATTTAGTAAAATTTAAATTTATTACTTTTTCACTTGCCAAATCGATTAACTCTTCCAGTAACATAAAAATGGTAACATTACTAACGATTACCTTTTGACTATTTTTTCTTATAAATTTGATATACCATTAGATGAAAGTTACATTTGCATTTATGCATTCTACGATATTTATTTTGATTTAAATTATAAAGGGAA